ACACTCACACGCACACACACTTACATTGTTTTTTCAACAAAACAAAAATGCTCATTTTCCTATGTCACCAAGACCTTTTGGAACAATTTATATTTTCATTACCTCTATTCTAATTTGGCACTTTTCAAAGGTTCTGAAAATTTTGCCTTTTAATTCAACACATTCCTTAAAGATTATTGCCCTCTGGTTCATCTGCTTTGCTGAAATTCCAACTTATTTCGAAAGCTACTTACATAAGTTGCCTGTATTCAATTGTCTTTCTGTGTAATTATCTTTCTGCTATTTAAGTTTTCCTTCTAAATTTTTGTGCCTCCTTTTCAAAATGCTTCCAGATGATTCTTGAAATTCTTTATTTTCCTAACACTTGTTTTCTAGTTCGAAAGTTACCCTGTTATTTAACAAGAATATAAAATTTGGTTCCACGTTCACGTTATCACTTGTTTCTTCTTCCGACTTATTTACTAAAACATTATTTTCCTAAACAAAAACATTTATTTTTGACAGTTTATTGGACTGGGGTTCTGCATACGGTTACATTACAAAGAGAAAATTGGAGTAGATTCATGAATAGAATAGAACTCTAAGTTCATGATGGCCGAAAATGGAGAATTTACAATTTTAAAACATTTAAATACTGAAGAAAAAGACATGTTGCACTTAAATAATGTCTCAGAAAAAGAGTCTCTGAAGTACTTTTGTAAATAATGATAGTCTTTGAACATCCAAGAAGAAGAGGAGAATAGCCTAGGAGACTTTGCTAGTGTATACTTATTTTATTACAGGAAAGTAAGGAAATTTATTTAAAAATCCATGTGTAAAACATATCTATCATTGGTGAGGCCAATCTTACTTTATGCTTCACCTGTTTGGACACCCTATTATGATATATATTCCCATAAGATTGAAACTGTAAAATATAAATTTCTCACCTACAGGACTTGGAAACCTCAAATGGAATCCTTTAGAATGTCTCATAACTACTTTCATGCAGCTAATTATGTAAATATTAGCACTTTATATTTGCATAGACAACTCAATGATTAGTTAATAGAAATATTGATAATTTTTTTGCCCCTATTGCTAAATCTAATTTAGACCAACACTCTCCATTATGGCAAACGAATAAAATGGCTATAAATGTGAAATTAATGTATTTTTTATGCCAGAAATTAGCTATATAAGTTTTGCTAAAATTAAGTATTTAAATGTATTGATATTACAACTACACATTTTGTAACATATTGTATTTTGGGTGATTGCCTGTTTAATGAATAAATGAAATGAAAATACTCCGTGTACTTTGCTGGCTCTGAGGCAGAAAGCACATAAACGCACCCAGACACAATGCTATGAAACATTGGCAATAGCTAAGAAAACCTATTTGATGTGGAAAAATGAGAAAAGAGTACATAGGATTTATTACACTATTATCAGGTTATTCGGTACTACACCATAACAGACACTTGACATTAGAGATGAATTAAAGATCTGTGACATAACATAAATAATAGGCACACTAGGAGGAAATTGGCATGATTATTTAATGAGGGTGCTAAAAGATCAAATGCCAAAAACCCTCTACCTCTACAACCCTAAAGGGAAGAGGAAGGGCCAGAACAGTAAAACAATGGACTAACTTGATAAGAAGTCAACATGTCAACAGGCTCAATTTGTGGTGATCATGATGTTTGTTGTTATTGGTGTTGTTATTGTTATTATTGTTGTTGTTATTATTATTATTATTATTGTCATTTTTATTATTTTATTGTAATACTACTAATACTTTGTAGCTATGTTTTTTCTATTTTCAAATATTGTTTTATGACTTTTGTGTTACTAGCTTTACTTTCTTTTTTTGCTTCAGGCACCTGTGATAGTTATTCCAGCAAATTCTACTAGTACTGATGCATTGTACTTTGATATGGGTACTTTAACAGTAAAAAATCGTTTTGAAACATCAACGACTACAAATGATAGTGGTCAGAATGCAGTCATTGATGAAATAACTGTAGGTCTACAAGCTATGAAACTTTTAAGGTTGGTATGAAACTGATCCAGGAAAATTTCTGTATTTCTGTATTTTTAATTAATTTATAGTTTGGCAACTTATTGAATCTTCTGAATGAATTGTATTGAAGCTCCCGATTGGATGACAGTGTCCTCCTCTCTTTTCAACTCATGATCATGAAATGACATTGGGTTTTATTCAAAGTGTAGTAATAATATTTATAGAGCTTCATTTATTTCTCTCAAGTGTAGTATATACAGGGTAAGTCACTTCAGGAGGAAAGAAAACACCAACACCACACGTCTTCTGAGTCATTCCACGTCAAATCGCACACCATTTTGACCTTAAGTGTTCAAAGTTGATTGAAACTTGTTGAATGTGTTCTGAAGGTAACTAAAACAGGCAGGTTTTGGTTAGACTTTAACTTAATTATTTTGGAATTTATACCACATGAAAGTTTCCAAATAACCACGTGATAAAAATTCTTATTTCTCCTGTCATATTGATCGTAGAGAACTGAGATTAATCTCAAATAAAAGCTCAATCACAGTTTCATACTATTTATAGTTGGATTTAATTTTTAAATATCAAGAATTCATTAAATCTCAAAATTATTTTAAAAAAAAATTACAAATTTCGCAAAAATAAAATTCCCTTTTGAAAATATTATGTTCTCAGTTTAATGGACTTCAAATGGGCAAAATTTCATATTGAGATATTTATAAATAATATAATTTAAAAAAATATTAATTGAACATGTGTGCAGCCCCTTAGTGTACAGCTGTTATGTTTCAATATTAACTCTACTTTGAAAAGTGGAGATCAGAATGAAACGTGGAGTCTGCAAAATCTTAAAACATTTTTATGTGTTTAGGTACAACTACAAGTTATTTTTAAACCTGTAGCTTTGGAGAAATGTTGTTTTCTTTTTTCGTTTGTTATTGGTAAGGGGCTCAGAAAATTTCAAAGCACTCATTCAGTCATTACCAGACCCTGCACAGGGAATTTTTATGGCTCTACCATAAGAAACAAAGAGGCCCTTCTTCGAAATCCAGATGAGTGCCCTCATCAAAATTTCTGTCAGTATTTGTTTAATATGCAGCAAGTGTAAACCGTGTTTACTACAGGTTTTACATAATTTGTGTTGGACTGTTAACACAATGAGTAATATCAAACACCCATGTCATGGCTTTAATTTTAATGCATTTAATCTAAAAAATCGCTGTGATAGATATAAGAAGAAAAACTTTAGGCCTGAGACAGCCTTTTCCATTGTCATTCAAAATTCAATTCAAGCAGCACATTGGAATAAAGAACCAGGTCACCTTTCACCCCTTTGCTATATAATTCAAATATAATAGTCACCTAAGTGTAATGACAATTTTTGAAAGCCTAAAGCATTATACAAAAGCAATTTATCTCTTACAGAAACATTGATTTTAGATGAAACTTTGATTGAATTTCTAAAACTTGAAGTAGGTAATATCAGGAAAGTAATCTATTTTTCAAATGGAGCAAGTGCTCAATATGAAAACTGAAAAAAGTTTGTTATTTTATGATTTCACAAAAAATTTTGGTGTGAATTCTGAATGGCATACCTTGGCTACTTCCCATGAGAAAGGGCGTAGTAATGGAATTGGCAACACCACCGAAAGATTGGCTATGTGAGAAAATCTGCAGCTATTTCATGATCCAATTATGACACCACAGAAATTATTCAAGTGGGCAAAAAAACAGTTAATGGTATTCACTTTGTTTTTGACAATTGTTAACCATATTCAATGTGACTTATTGAAATCCCAGTACGAAAAAGTGAAACTTGTTATGCAAAAATACACTTTTGTGGATCTATTATTTAATAACTTTTTAAAAAAATATATGAATTAATGAATATGAATATGAACTTCATCTTCTACTTATACAATTTCAACTACTCATTCCTAACATTTTCTTTTTCATGACAAATAGACTCAGGACATTTGACTTCGTATGGTGTGAACCTGGATGCGTCTGTCCTCCTCATGCAGGATGTTTGATGGGGATTTAATTTTTTTTTAATATATTGAAAAATCTCACTTAAAAGAATGAAAATTTACAGTTAAAAAGCTACAAAAAATAAACAATTTCAATTTTTGTATATTATATGTAGTACAAATATAATAACAAGTCAGTGTTATAATTCATAAATTGAAACTAGTTTGAATTCTTTAGTTTTTTTAATAAAGTAAATACATGCATTTATATATGACAGTACGCACTCTAGTTTGTAATTTTTAATTACTCTGAACTTATACGACTTTAATAAAAATAAAAAAAACCACGTGAAAGTTATTTTTGCTACTAGAATAAGTACACAAAGTTTTAAAAACATCAAGGTCAATTTTGCATCGAATTCGTTTGATTTCACGTGGAATGACTCTTCTCTCTAATTTGATTACTAAAAGTTACTAATGTTATTTTGCTGAGAAATACTTTCTTTCTGCACAGCAGTTTATTCACAATTTTTCTTTTTCTATAATATTTAGAAGGTTGTACTTAAAGTGAGTTGAAGCACTGAAGATGTTTCTAAGTATTTTCCAAAAAAATATCCTTTTTTAAAATACAAACATAAATTTGTGAATTAATAGAATTGGGGTAGAATGGTCTGTTTTACAGTGGTGTCTTTTTCACTTTGAATGGGCCCAACATGCTTATGCTGTCAGAATTTCAGGGCACTCACTATTCGCTGATGACACAAATGACCTCATTAATAATTAAAAAATTATTAATTATTAAATTAAAGAATTCATACCAAAATTAAAAAATTACAAAATACTCTTTCTATGGGAATCTAAGCTGCGAAGTGCAATGTGGAAAAAAGGAATTATTTTTTGTTATTAGGAGGAACATGCTGGTGTGTTGCTTTTTCTCCGGAAATGTCCTAACATTTGCATGCATTTCGATGTTTTTCGCTCCTTTTCTTGATGTGACTGAAAAATTCAAATAATTTTAAGAAAAAGTGATGATTTGTTTTTGTAATATTGTAAATTGAGTTTCTATTGGTTATATCCATTCTTTTTAGTGTTTTTTTTTCTCTTTGTTGTAAAATATGAACTTTAATTGTGTTTGATTTCTAAATTTATTCTACTTTCTCTACTTTTTTTTCAAGTTTCATTTAATTCTTTCTACTTCGTTTTGTGATGTTTTGCTTCTCATAATTTTCGTATTTCAAATTATTTTATTTTCATCCAATATTTTCTTCTGTTTCTCATTTTCTGGCCCTTAAGCTGTCTATATATTTTTTTACATGAAATATTAAATTATCAAGTTTCTATTCCTTTCGCCTTTGATATTGTATATTTTCAAGTCTTCTTTATTATTCTTAGAGTAAAGCTCAGCCCTGAAGAGGAAGTTTTGTCTGAATGTGTTCTGCTCAAGCCTATTACCTGTAAAGTGCTTGTTAGACGCAATCTTTCTGCTGGGTGGTACACCACAGCTCCTGACATAGATTGCTCTGGGCGACTAGAAACTGTTCTGGTAGGTCTCAAATATTTAAGAAGGAAACATTTATGAACTTATATATGTCTCATATCACTAGCACTAATAACTTTTATACAGGTGAGTCACATAACTTTACCACCTCCTGTAATATTTGAATGGTTGAATTTATTGTAATACTTTTTCACAGAAGTGCATGAAGGAATGAGGCTAATTAATGGAAGCATTAATCTATCATGATGAGTGTAAAAAGATCAAGAAAAAATAGAATGTTTTAAACATAATGATTTTTGTTTCATTGCTCTTAACAATATTATATAATTCTTTGCATCCTTTTATGTTAAAAATGCATGTGAAAATGTTGTAGAGACTTCTACTCTCTTGTAAGAGTAATCTTATTTTGTTGAGATAAGTTCTTTCAAGTAGTGGACTCTTAGGTCCATAAAATGAAATAAATTTAATTAATTAAAAGCTTTTACTTGTGATTTGTATATAAGCCTGATTCTTTCCACTAATTTATGAATATTGAAGGGGGTGATCAAAAACATACAATCATATGATATGTGTGAGAAATTTTCTATCTGCAAGCTGGAGGGAAAACAGGAGTATAGTGCTTTTTGATTTCTGTGTTAATTTTTCTTTCTCAACAAATGTATTAATTTCTTTTGTAAATAATAAACAATTTACATACTTCTGGAGGGTTTATATCTTTTGCAATGCAAATTTTTGCATAGAAAGTTTTTTTCAAACAAACTTTAGAGTTCTTATTGTGGCTTGGCCATTCAAAATATTCAAGGAATTTATTAGACAAAATATACTTTAAATTATCTTTTATATATTTATTTATGTATTAAGATTTATAGCTAGCTTGTAAATCACTGACAGTGCATGTTTTACCTGCTTTTTTTTTCTCTTCAATCTCCTTTGCTTTATTTGATGAGAGTTTTTCAAAAGATGCTATTCTTAGGATCCAATTATAATATTTTAAGACTGGTTAGAAATAATGTAATATATATTTTAAAATATGTCTTTAATGTTTTCACAGTTGAGCTTAAGTGAAGATGATTATCAAATGCTGCTTCGTATTCCAAACGAAAACATGCAAGAGAAAGAGGATCCTCCTCTTACTCCTGTAATGGAACTGAATCGTCCAGTCTCTCAAGATACATGTGAAATTAGAATTGAGAGACCCAAAACTTTACAGAGCTTACCAATTACAGGTTTGTTTATTGGTCTTTTTCTACTCTACTCCCCCATATTGGAAGCAAATACATTACATTAATTTACTTCAATAATAATTAAATTATTTTTTGTTATGGCCAAGATTGGACTTTTCACACTTTGGTGATAACTGTAGATGAGATTTCTTTTCAGGTGTAGGCTTTCTGTTTTCGTTTTTGATCCAGCATCCTTACTTCAATTAGATAGCTCTATAATTTAATGATATTGTAATATATTAAAAAGTATACATACTTGTGGGTGGATGATGGATATGCTATTTCAAAAAAGTGTTCAAT